AAAACTGTGATGTGTATCGTTATGCCACAGGCGATACAGTGGGCATGTCAACTACGATCAGACGTACCCGTGAGTCCATCTACCGCTCGCTAAGCCTGTTGTATGTGAGTGAGTGGTCAGTACGGGGAGGCCGATGGCACGCCGCCGCCGGCCCGGCCTGACCAGTGCAGCGTCTGGCTATCGTCCAGCCGTGCACGGTGTGTTCCGTTTCCGGCGGGCTGAGTCCCTCGGCCGGGCCGGGCCGGCCGTGGCGCGTCTCGCTGTGGCCGTCTGTCCGATCGGCCGCGCCCCCCTCACCGCCCCCTCCGGCCGAGACGGGTCCGTCTGGCGAGACGTTCCGAGCGGTGTGTCCATGTGGAGTGAATGCACTGCTAGCCACTGCAGCTGTTTGGTGTCCGGCTGCCGGAATAGAGTGTCGGAGCGGCGGCAGAGGAGTGACGGCAGCTGTTTGTGGTGGATTCTGACGGAGCTGACCACCGGCACAATAAGACTGCAGCGGCACCAGCCACGGGGAGGGGGCTGCAGCTGGGAGTGTCACCGGACCGCTCTCCGTGCCGGCAGCTGACACTGACCGGGGGCCGGTCTGACACTGTCAGGGGCTGCAGTGTCAGTGTGTCAGTTCAGCTGACAGTCGGAGCACCAGCAGCTGGACACAGCTGACACTGTATATATAGACCACTGTCACTCCGACACTGACACGGACTGGGACGGCACGCGCGGTGTGACGTCACACTGGCCTCCAACACGGCCTCCAACAGCTGCACCCGGCTGTGGGCACGGACACACCGGCTGCAGCCAGTAACGCTCGCCGCTGTGCTGGAGCCGCCCGCTGGCCACAGCAGCGACGGGGGCTGACAATCGTCCCGCACTGCAACGGAAAGGCCACACGACGGCAACGGGGGTGACGGCTGTGGTGGGATTTTACGATAAATACGGGAATGGTTGTGAGCTCGGTATTATTTTGTGCGTATTTGACGAGAGGTGACTGGTTGATTTTGTGAGTGCGTTGATGGACAGGCTAGGGTCATTAGTTGGTTTTGTGAGTGCGTTGATGGACAGTCGAGGGTGATTAGTTGATTTTGTGAGTGCGTTGATGGACAGGCGAGTGCCCGTGGTTGACAGCGAGACAAGCCGGCTGCTGGATGTGCTGTGACAGTGTGTCGGTGCTTGTTGTCGGTGTCGGGTGGTGCAGCTGGCGGCGGCCCGCTGCCATACGGGAGCGGTCGGTCGGCAGGCCGCTCGGCGGCTCGTCCAGCCGGTAGTTGGTGTCAGATCTCTGAGGCCGGTGGGTCAGAGCCGGTGAGCCCGGCCAGGGCACGGCCGGAGCACGGCCACGGCCCCGGCGGCGGCACGGAGGGGAGTCGGGTCGTAGCCAGGTGCACGGTGGTGTGTAAGGTCGATCGACGAATACAAGGTGCATTTGAGAAGACACCCAGTTGACCGCGTGACCTCGAGCGACCCTGCACAGCGGACTGGGGAGAGGAGTAGGACAGGGTTGGGGGCTCAGCGGCCGCCGCTGAAACGGACACTCACATATAGGGTAGGGACAGTCGGCAGAGACAGTCTTGCACCGGCCCCACTCATGGGGGTAGGGACAGTCGGCAGAGACAGTCCCACCGGTCCCACTCATGGGGTAGGGACAGTCGGCAGAGACAGTCCCACCGGTCCCACTCCTGGGGTAGGGACAGTCGGCAGAGACAGTCCCACCGGTCCCACTCATGGGGTAGGGACAGTCGGCAGAGACAGTCCCACCGTCCCACTCCTGGGGTAGGGACAGTCGGCAGAGACAGTCCCACCGGTCCAACTCATGGGGTAAGGACAGTCGGCAGAGACAGTCCCACCGGTCCCACTCATGGGGTAGGGAAAGCCGGCAGAGACAGTCCCACCGGTCCCACTCATGGGATGGGGACAGTCGTCAGAGACAGCTCCACCGGTCCCACTCATGGGGTAGGGACAGTCGGCAGAGACAGTCCCACCGGTCCCACTCATGGGGTAGGGACAGTCGTCAGAGACAGTCCCACCGGTCCCACTCATGGGGTAGGGACAGTCGGCAGAGACAGTCCCACCGGTCCCACTCATGGGGTAGGGACAGTCGAAAGAGACACTCCCTCCGGTCCCACGCATGGGGTAGGGACAGTCGGCAGAGACAGTCCCACCGGTCCCACTTATGGGGTAGGGACAGTCGGCAGAGACAGTCCCACCGGTCCCACTCCTGGGGTAGGGACAGTCGGCAGAGACAGTCCCACCGGTCCCACTCATGGGATAGGGACAGTCAGCAGAAAAAGTCCCACCGGTCCCACTCATGCAGTAGGGACAGTCGGCAGAGATAGTCCCACCGGTCCCACTCATGGGATGGGGACAGTCGGCAGACAGTCCCACCGGTCCCACTCATGGGGTAGGGACAGTCGGCAGAGACAGTCCCACCATGGGGTAGGGACAGAGACCGTCCCACCGGTCCCACTCATGGGATAGGGACAGTCGTCAGAGACAGTCCCACTGGTCCCACTCCTGGGGTAGGGACAGAGACAGTCCCACCGGTCCCACTCATGGGGTAGGGACAGTCGGCAGAGACAGTCCCACTGGTCTCACTCATGGGGTGGGGACAGTCGGCAGAGACAGTCCCACCGGTCCCACTCCTGGGGTAGGGACAGTCGGCAGAGACAGTCCCACCGGTCCCACTCATGGGGTAGGGACAGTCGGCAGACAGTCCCACCGGTCCCACTCATGGGGTAGGGACAGTCGGCAGAGACAGTCCCACCATGGGGTAGGGACAGAGACCGTCCCACCGGTCCCACTCATGGGATAGGGACAGTCGTCAGAGACAGTCCCACTGGTCCCACTCCTGGGGTAGGGACAGAGACAGTCCCACCGGTCCCACTCATGGGGTAGGGACAGTCGGCAGAGACAGTCCCACTGGTCTCACTCATGGGGTGGGGACAGTCGGCAGAGACAGTCCCACCGGTCCCACTCCTGGGGTAGGGACAGTCGGCAGAGACAGTCCCACCGGTCCCACTCATGGGGTAGGGACAGTCGGCAGAGACAGTCCCACCGGTCCCACTCATGGGGTAGGGACAGTCGGCAGAGACAGTCCCACCGGTCCCACTCATGGGGTAGGGACAGTCGGCAGAGACAGTCCCACCGGTCCCACTCCTGGGGTAGGGACAGTCGACAGGGACAGTCCCACCGGTCCCACTCATGGGGTAGGGACAGTCGGCAGAGACAGTGCCACCGGTCCCACTCATGGGGTAGGGACAGTCGGGAGAGACAGTCCCAGCGGTCCCACTCATGGGGTAGGGACAGTCGGCAGAGACAGTCCCACCGGTCCCACTCATGGGATAGGGACAGTCGTCAGAGACAGTCCCACTGGTCCCACTCCTGGGGTAGGGACAGAGACAGTCCCACCGGTCCCACTCATGGGGTAGGGACAGTCGGCAGAGACAGTCCCACTGGTCTCACTCATGGGGTGGGGACAGTCGGCAGAGACAGTCCCACCGGTCCCACTCCTGGGGTAGGGACAGTCGGCAGAGACAGTCCCACCGGTCCCACTCATGGGGTAGGGACAGTCGGCAGACTGTCCCACCGGTCCCACTCATGGGGTAGGGACAGTCGGCAGAGACAGTCCCACCATGGGGTAGGGACAGAGACCGTCCCACCGGTCCCACTCATGGGATAGGGACAGTCGTCAGAGACAGTCCCACTGGTCCCACTCCTGGGGTAGGGACAGAGACAGTCCCACCGGTCCCACTCATGGGGTAGGGACAGTCGGCAGAGACAGTCCCACTGGTCTCACTCATGGGGTGGGGACAGTCGGCAGAGACAGTCCCACCGGTCCCACTCCTGGGGTAGGGACAGTCGGCAGAGACAGTCCCACCGGTCCCACTCATGGGGTAGGGACAGTCGGCAGAGACAGTCCCACCGGTCCCACTCATGGGGTAGGGACAGTCGGCAGAGACAGTCCCACCGGTCCCACTCATGGGGTAGGGACAGTCGGCAGAGACAGTCCCACCGGTCCCACTCCTGGGGTAGGGACAGTCGACAGGGACAGTCCCACCGGTCCCACTCATGGGGTAGGGACAGTCGGCAGAGACAGTGCCACCGGTCCCACTCATGGGGTAGGGACAGTCGGGAGAGACAGTCCCAGCGGTCCCACTCATGGGGTAGGGACAGTCGGCAGAGACAGTCCCACCGGTCCCACTCATGGGGTAGGGACAGTCGGCAGAGACCGTCCCACCGGTGCGCGCCGCTCAGTGTCCCAGAGGGTGCGTCGCTGAGGTGCCGCGGCGCGCCGCAGTCCCGGCTCGGGCCGGCCAGCACCGCTCAGGTGACTGACGGCGGTCAGCCCAGCCGGCAGCGAGTCGCCGGGACCGGCAGCTCGGCCACCGGCTGCAGTCCAGGCCGCCGACAGACGAGCGGCCACGGCCGGCGGCACCGCACCAGTCGGCAGACATTGCTCGGCAGCCGCGCCGCACCGCTGTATGGCCGGGACGGGGGGGGACTTGGTGCTGATTATAATACCACATCAGTCGAGTAGTTCTGACTTTCACTCATCACCTGTTTCGCTGTAGCTCGAGTGGATATGGCCGGGCAGAAGCCGGGGACCGTGTATGTCCGTGTCTCCGTGTATGTCCGTGTCGATGTGTCTCTCCGTGTATCTCCGTGTGTGTGTCCCTGCAGTGTCTGCAGTGAGTACGGCTGCTGTACGGTCCGTATATGACGGGTACGGAGACGGTGTACGGAGACTGCCGCTCCGCTCCGCCGGGGCGGACTGTCTGTGACCGCGCGGGGCGGGGCGGAAAATGACGGCTCACAGCGGAGCGGGGCGGAAAATGACGGTTCACAGCGGGGCGGGGCGGAAAATGACGGTTCACAGCGGGGCGGGGCGGAAAATGACGGTTCACAGCGGGGCGGGGCGGAAAATGACGGTTCACAGCGGGGCGGGGCGGAAAATGGCGGTTCACAGCGGGGCGGGGCGGACGGTGCAGCCGGACAAACACTCGGCACACTGCTCATTGGTTTATTGAAGGCCACAGATGGTACAGCTCAAGCGAATCATGTCGTGTTATTAGCAGACACAGAGTAGAATAGACACATGGTCTACATCAGGACCATCCGATTAAACCTAAACCCAGCCTAAACCTATAGACATTGTGTTTGACGTCTCGAGTCTCGGCGTGCGCCGGGCTCCGCCGGTGGAGAGCGGGGCGGCTGACTGACCAATCAGCTGACGGACCAATCAGCTGACGGACCAATCAGCTGACTGACCAATCAGCTGACTGATCAATCAGCTGACGGACTAATCAGCTGACGGACCAATCAGCTGACGGACCAATCAGCTGACGGATCAATCAGCTGACGGATCAAAATCAGCTGACGGACCAATGGTCAGCTGACGGACCGGTCACCGCCCCGGGCCGGGTGACGGCCGCCGGCCGGGACCGGAGCGGGCGGGCGCGGCGCGGCCGGCCGCCGTCTGAACTGGCACCGCGTGGATACTGCCAGCTCGGACGGCAGCTAGCCAGTAGTCGAGTAGAGCTGTCCGTGTGGGACGTGTCACAACACGCTCAGCACGGCGCTCAGCACCGCCGAGCCGAGGTGCAGCCAGACCCGGGGGAGCGGTCACGTGACCGAGCCGTCCGACTGCACCGGGGGGACGGTCACGTGACCGAGGCCGGCCGTGCCGCCGGGACCAGGCGCGGTGAACCGAGTCGGACGGTCAGAGACATGTGTTCTACATACAGAATAGCGTAATGCCACGATCGGTAGTCTCTCCAGCACGTCACTTTTCACTGTCCAATTACTCACAATACCCGCCCGGTAATTACCCACTACATCACATCTCCCGTCCAATTACTCACAATACCCGCCCGGTATTTACCCACCAGGTCACATCCTTCCATCCAATTACCCACAATACCCACCCGGTAATTACCCACTACATCACACCCGTGTGCTACTACTACATCTACACTACTACTACTAAAACTCCATCACTACACTACACTACTACTACAACTACATGACTACACTAGAGCGGACACGGGGGCCGTGTGCCGGCTGACCGGCGCCGCTCTCAGTGCCGGCTGGTGCAGCACACACGGCAGCAGTCAGCTGGCGGCCCCGGCCGACTGGCTCGGCCTCTCTGCAGTCAGCTCATCACTGCACGGTCGGTAGTGGTCGGTACCACTCCCTCACTTCGACCCGACCGCCTTCCCGTCTCTTCAGCTGATCGTACAGCTCCTCTGTGGACAGAGCAGAGACACGTCTGAGGTGGACACCTCACACACAGACAGACACACAGACAGCGGTACAGCCATGTCCACACACCGCCGGCCAGTGACGTCACACACAAGACAGACGGCTGACGCGACGTCACCGTCGGCCGTGGTGGCCGTGACGCGTCACGTCACCGTCCGTGACTTGCCCTGCGGCGTTGGTCGAGTGTGTGTGTCTGAGAGGCCGGTGGCGCCGTGCAGCGTCTGTTGTGAGGGACTGACTGGTCAGAGGCGCGGCGCGCGGCGCCCTCTCACCTACCGGGGACATAGAGATGGATGGTACGGGGCCAGCCATCACTGTACCGCAGGTGCGCCTCCTTTAGGGCGGTCAGCACGGCCCGGCCGGTGTCTGCCGTGCAGTGAAGGAACAGAAACCGCAGCTGCCGACACGACTTCACCAGTCTGTAACAGAGCAGAGCAGCAGAGCCGTCACACACAAATAAAGCGGCACCAGCCGGCCGGACGTACGAGTCAGTGTCAGTGTGTCAGTAGTTCAGTGTCGGTGTGTTGGTGTCAGTGTCAATGCGTCAGTGTCAGTGTGTCAGTGTCAGTGTCAGTGTGTCAGTGTCAGTGTGTCAGTAGCAGTGTGTCAGTGTCAGTGTGTCAGTGTCAGTGTGTCAGTGTCAGTGTGTCAGTGTCAGTGTGTCAGTGTTAGTGTGTCAGTGTGTCAGTGTCAGTGCCAGTGTCAGTGTGCCAGTGTCAGTGTGTCAGTGTCAGTGTGTCAGTGTCAGTGTGTCAGTGTCAGTGTGTCAGTGTCAGTGTGTCAGTGTCAGCGTGGAAGTGTCAGTGTCTGACAGGACACCCCTCGCCAGTGTCTGCCGACTGACCTGGTGTACGCTGCTGCTGTGAAGGCCGTCTCTGCCGGCCGCTGGAGGTCCCCCAGTGTAAGCCTGTACAGCCCGGGCCAGCCGCTGAGACTGTCCAGCACGGCGTCAGGGACGCTGCCGGACAGGGTGAGACTGAGCAGCTTAGTGCACCTGGTGAGGGGCTCCAGGCTCACGGTGTCAGGGACGCCGCCGGACAGGGTGAGACGCCCCAGATCAGGGTACCTGGTGAGGGGCTCCAGGCTGCCGGTCGTGAGATCAGGACAGTCTGGAAAACACACAGACACACATACAGACAGGATCAGTCGGCAGAAATACATGTCGATATATGGAAAAAACGAAACAGCTATTAATTCGCATGGTTTTATTCGCATGTAAGCCATGGTATAACAGTGGTACCATATGATATGCCATATAAACATGAATGAATGTGATAACATGAATGAATGAACATGATAACATGAATGTTCATGTTATCTATGGATATGCAATCAGTTCAGCCAATGCATTGAAGTGCATTGAACATTGCATTTCAATCGCAATATGTAGGTATGTTCAACTAACTATGAGCGAATATGTCACTGACTGAACAGTCCTCCATTTTGGAGCTCAATTAGCTTCATTGTTTCGCAAAGCACATTGGCTATGTATCGCACCTGTCTCCATAAGGTCCGACAATGGCACACCGTTACGCGGTGTCCGCCATTCGCTGATCTCGTACATATCAGCGGCCTGTCCGTGCCAGGGTATATTGAGTGAAGGGTAGGACGAACTTTGGTAGGAATTTCTAGTATAACTACTAGAAAACCTACTATATGTGGTCGGGACTAGCAAAAAGTTGGTTCAAACTAGAATATGGTAGCGCTTATGGTTGGCAGTCGTGACGCGCACGTGACAATCATTTCTTAAATTTCTTAAATAACAGGTTTTAGGGGCCGATTAGTGCGCAGATACATTCAATTAGCTATTAATAATTGATTACGCAAACATTCATGATTCTACATCATTCAATTCTAGCCGAAATCACACGGCGCTCCCAGGATTCGAACTCACGACCCTCGGATCCGTAGCCCGATACGCTACCGACTGCGCTACCGAGGACCGCGCGCCGACGATCGGAGAGGCGGATCGCGGGTGCTGGCGTGCAGAGAAATCTTTACCCTGTACGCCGTAGAAGATCGGCTGGGTTTCGTGAAAAATGGTAGAGGAATTGTCGAAAGAAAATTCATCGATCTATCATTTGAGACTAAGAACCATTGATTCCTTCAAAGGTTGACCGAGATATCGCTCGCCGAAAACAGGCCATTTAACATGTAAACCCTATGGGCTGGTAGGAAATGTACGCCGTGGAGCAGCAGTGCTACCAACTAACTTCGGCGGGGGCCGGTCCGTGCTGCCGCTGCTCACCGTATATCTCCAGTCGGTTGACCGTCCGTCCCAGGTCAGCCAGGTGACTGATGGTGTCGGCAGCCACCCCCTGGAGCGACACTGACAGACCATACTCGTACCGTTCCGGCCACCTCGACTCCGTCACCTCCGGCCCTGTCGGACAGAGCTGTGTCAGCTGACTGCAGTCGGACAGAGCTGCCGCCAGCTCCCCGCTGCACCACTGACACCAGAGTGTCAGACACTGACACAGTCAGCATTGAAACAGACGAGCGGCCGCACAGCAATTTTTTAGCAGCAGCAGTCATATGTAGAATGTGAATATGAACATAATACGTATATGCGAAAAGTATATGCGTAATACAGTAGTCTATGAAACTTCTTATGCTACTCTCATTGGTTGCACTATATCTAATAATCATTCCCCATTGAAATACTTGCTCTCTAATCGTAACAATGCCTGCATTCCCGTGCTGGCCGCCTTCGATCGTGGCGCCACCTATACTCTGTATAACCGCCGCTCCAGGGCCGCGGCCAGTCAGTCTCGTCAGTCTGCTCAGACCCGTCGTCAGCGAGCTATCTATGTAGTCAGTCAGTGTCAGTTGTCGATCAGGCGTGCGTTCGACATCCGGAAAATGAGGGATAATTATCCGGGATCACCGGTAATAATTTGGTATTGCAAGGACTATCGATGCAATAAGTCATATTTTTATATTGCTTTTGCTTCAGTAATGGCTCTTTTACTCATTGGCATGTGCGTTGTGCACGGTGTCAGCCTAAAACACCGAATGATCCCGTTGATCCCAGAAAATTATCCCTGATTTTCCGGATGCCGAATTCGCACTAATACTCAATACGTTTGTTCGGAAATTTGCTGCTTGTGACAATGCAACTATCGCTAGTACCTCAACTTTTAACCCTCGCCCTGGCAGGGGGGGGGGGTCGATGCGACCCCCCCCTAAGGTTTTTCGAAGATAGCGTAAAAACGGCGGCGCGCAGCGCCGCCAAATTTGGCACAGCCTATGGGGCAACCTTTTTACATATGACCTGAAAATTTCAGGTCCGGGTGACCTTGGGTCAGGTCACCAGGTCAGAAAAACCGGTACAAGGTCATGGTCAAATTTCAATTTTCTTTATGCACCTGTCCAACTCACAGTTTTGGACCGATTTCCTTCAAACTTTCAGGATGTGCTAAGTTCACCAAGTTGTATAACATATATTCCGGTTTTTTGGATGTCACTGACCTGAGGTCAGTTAGAGGTCATTACGTTATAATGTTAAGCCTATGGGAAAGTAGTAAATTCGGAAAATACTGAAGATATCCGCTTCGTTCTATCACTTTTGTGCTTTGAAACCACAGTTCTTAACAGGAGGTCACTTGGTGCTTCTTTGTTTGGTGTAATTATCCATGGGTCAGGTCAAATGAGGTCAACTGAGGTCAAATGACGTTTTTGCCAATAACTTGGCACATAATGACGCTAGAGCTTAAAAAATGGTATCATTGTGTTCCTGGTGATGAGCCGAATCGAATGATATGCGATATGATGCAATTTGGTTAACTTGAACTTAATTAATTAATTTAAGTTTACTTAAAATTTAAGAAAAAATTTAAGTACACTTAAGCAAGCTAAAAAGTATATCATTCGACGCGCCTTGACGTGCTGAGTTCACTGGTGCTTTTCTTTTTGCTTTATCTCAATTAGATCAAAAGTTATAAGCGAAAAACTTTTGACCTGTTTTTAGCGAAATTTTTACATTTATACCCCCCAAAACCCCCCTAAATATCGACCTAGATCAACCAAATTTGCACAGGGGCGAGAACTCCAGGGGGCCCAACTACCTACCAAATTTGGTGTTTCTAGGTGCCATAGGAGCCAATCGCGAGGGGGGGGGGGTCGCATCGACCCCCCCCCTGCCAGGCCGTGTTATGAAAAATGCCCTGCCAGGGCGAGGGTTAAATCACCCCGTGACGTTACACTAATATTCCACGCATATGCCTCAAGCATGGACACTATCGAAGGGCATCCATTGAACCCCTTCCCCCTCTCACCACAATACGAGACGAGTAATATACACGATTAACGATGAAACTTGCTAGTTGAGGCTGATCAGTTCGTCCATTTGCCGTCTCCCCTGTTCATTTGCATATACCGGCATTACATGTGTGATCTGCTGTATCTCACCTCTGACATTGAGGCACCTGAGGCCCTCCGGCAGCTGCCCCCTCAGTAGCGGGAGGTCGGCGGCGGTGACTGATAGGTCCTGCAGCCCACGGCACCTGGTGAGGGGCTCCAGGCTGCCGGCCGTGTGATCAGGACAGTCTGGAAAACACACAGACACACATACAGACAGGATCAGTTAGCTGTAATACATGTCGATATATGACAAAACGAAAAAACACCTGATAATTCACATGGTTTTATGGACACAGTAGACAATGGTAAAACAGTGCTATTATATCCCTCGCCCTGGCAGGGCATTTTTCATAACACGGCCTGGCAGGGGGGGGGGGGGGTCGATGCGACCCCCCCCCTCGCGATTGGCTCCTATGGCACCTAGAAATACCAAATTTGGTAGGTAGGTGGGCCCCCTGGAGTTCTCGCCCCTGTGCAAATTTGGTTGCTCTAGGTCAATATTTAGGGGGGTTTTGGGGGGTATAAATGTAAAAATTTCGCTAAAAACAGGTCAAAAGTTTTTCGCTTATAACTTTTGATCTAATTAAGATAGAGCAAAAAGAAAAGCACCAGTGAACTCAGCACGTCAAGGCGCGTCGAATGATATACTTTTTAGCTTGCTGAAAGGTACTTAAAGTTTTTCTTAAATTTTAAGTAAACTTAAATTAATAAATTAAGTTAAAGTTAACCAAATTGCATCATATCGCATATCATTCGATTCGGCTAATCACCAGGAACACAATGATACCATTTTTTAAGCTCTAGCGTCATTATGTGCCAAGTTATTGGCAAAAACGTCATTTGACCTCAGTTGACCTCATTTGACCTGACCCATGGATAAGTACACCAAACAAAGAAGCACCAAGTGACCTGCTGTTAAGTACTGTGGTTTCAAAGCACAAAAGTGATAGAACGAAGCGGATATCTCCAGTATTTTCCGAATTTAGTATTTTCCCATAGGCTTAACATTACGACGTAATGACCTCTAACTGACCTCAGGTCAGTGACCTCAAAAAACCCGAACTATATGTTATACAACTCGGTGAACTTAGCACATCCTGAAAGTTTGAAGGAAATCAGTGCAAAACTGTGAGTTGGACAGGTGCAAAAAGAAAATTGAAATTTGACCATGACCTTGTACCGGTTTTTCTGACCTGGTGACCTGACCCAAGGTCACCCGGACCTGAAATTTTCAGGTCATATGTAAAAAGGTTGCCCCATAGGCTGTGCCAAATTTGGCGGCGCTGCGCGCCGCCGTTTTTACGCTATCTTCGAAAAACCTTAGGGGGGGGTCGCATCGACCCCCCCCCCCTGCCAGGGCGAGGGATATGATATATGCAATCAGTTAAGCAAATGCATTGATATTTGAAATTGTTTAACGGACTTTCACTGGGTAGTGGGTAAAAGTTATTATTGGTCCCGGTACTCCGACTTGTATGGAAAAGTCTTCGATGGGGCACACATAGGTTTAAATTTTGTCTGTTTTAAACCTATGTGTGCCCCATCGAAGACTTTTCCATACAAGTCGGAGTACCGGGACCAATAATAACTTTTACCCACTACCCAGTGAAAGTCCGTTAAACAATTTCAAATAAGCATTTACCTGGGTATTAACTATTAAGACATGACTCTTCAGTCTCACTTAACAAATGCATTGAACTTCATTAAACAGTGCAACACAATTGTTATGAGTATGATCAACTAACTCTGAACGAATATGTCACTGAGTGAACAGTCCTCCATTTTTCAGCTCAATTGACTTCATTATTTCGCAAAGCATATTGGCTATGTATCACAGCTAGGTCTCCATGAGGTTCGACAACGGCAAACCGTTACTCGGTGTCCGCCATTCGCTGAGCTGGTATATCAGCGGCCTGTCCGTGCTGCCGCTGCTCACCGTATATCTCCAGTCGTCCGACCGTCCGTCCCAGGTCAGCCAGGTGATCGGCAGCCACCCCCTGGAGCGACACTGACAGATCATCATCCTCGTCCCGTTCCGGCCACCTCGGCTCCGTCACCTCCGGCCCTGTCGGACAGAGCTGTGTCAGCTGACTGCAGTCGGACAGAGCTGCCGCCAGCTCCCCGCTGCACCACTGACACCAGAGTGTCAGACACTGACACAGCCAGCACTAACACATCCGAGCGGCTGCACAACGATATTTTTAGCAACAGCATACATACGTAAATATGCAAATATGAGCAACATAAGTATTACGATTTTTGCAAGGCACATTGGCCTAGGCACTGGGCAGCCAGTCATGGTATAGTAACGGATCAGATTGGTAGACAACATAAATATATGGTTCGCAGTGGTTGCAATGAAACCATTTCAAATTACCATAATTGCTACAATAATATTTCATGCATGCACTTGATGCTCACACTATATGCAAATGCATGCATTGCATCACTCTAACAATACCATATAACACAAACAAGGCTGTAAGATGTTGGCTGAATTCGAACGGTTCGTCCATTTGCCGTCTGTCTCCCTGTTCATTTGTATATCCATGTGCATTGTCCATTATACCGGCATTACATGTATGATCCGTGGTATCTCACCTCTGACATTGAGGCGCTGGAGGCACTCCGGCAGCTGCTCCCTCAGTAGCGGGAGGTCGGCGGCGGAGACTGACAGCCGCTCCACAGTCTCCCGTGAGCTCCGCAGCTCCGTCAGCTCGCTGTCACCGACTCCGGCCGGAAGGATAATAGTGTTTGGGCCCACCCTGATGATGGCACCACGAAGTAGACTTGGAATAGTAGTAACTTGTGCTGGAAAGGTGATTGAACCAATGTCAGGCATTTGTCTAGGTCAAACATTGTACACTTACCTACAGGTGTAGAAAACACAAAGTGAAAACTGTTTGTGGCTACAATGCTGTGATAATTCCGTGTCTGAGTAAATATGTATGTACTTTATCAAAACGATGTGAATTTCATAAGTTACGGCGACTTTCCGTAACATAATATTCAACAAATAAAATGATAATGGGTCTTTGACATATAAAACAAAATCACCACTAATTAGTCCATTATATTCCGAACTAGGCATATTTTCATGATGTCAATTGATCAATATGACATTATGATGAGTTTTTGAAACCTTTTCACATAAGTATTTTGTTCAGCACTTATGTGTAGCTAATTATAACAATTTTGTATCGTTATAAAATTTGTAGCGTAAATATTACGTCCAATAGAGGCCCAAATCATTGACCATCACCATTCACCACACGGCACACGACTTGTCATCCTACAGCTTGCCATGGCTTATGGCTTCTGTCCCACCTTAGGATGAGGCAGCATTTCCTGCAGTACATGTAATATGTGCAGTGACGTACCCAAGGGGGGGCCACGGGGGCCAAGGCCCCCCCCCCCTGAGCGCCGAAGGCGCTCAGGGGGCCCCTCAGGCCCCAGGATATTTTTTAAACACTGGATAACACGTCTTTTACTCGGAAGAAAAATTGATATTAAAGTTTCATTTATGTGCCCTGGGTACCCGAGGGGCCCCTGCAGTCATCCAAGGGCCCCCAGTTTCCTGGGCCCCTGGTCGCCTATAGGGGGCCTCTGGTAGCCGGGGGCCTGGTCTCATGGGGGCCCCTGATAGCCTGTGGCCCCTAGTCGCCTATGGGGCCCTGGTCGCATGGGGGGCCTCTGGTCGCATGAGGCCCCTGATCGACTGGGGGCCCCTAGTTGCCTAGGGGCCCTGATAGCCGGGGGCCTGGTCGTATGGGCCCCTGATAGTCTGTGGCCCCTAGTCGCCTAGGGGGCCCTAGTCGCATGGGGGGCCTCTGGTTGCATGATATTGAGGCCCCTGATCGCCTGGGGGTACCTAGTCGCCCAGGGGGCCCCTGGTAGCCGGGGGCCTGGTCGCATGGGGCCCCTGGTTGCCTGGGGCCCCCGGTCGCCCCTAGTCGCCTGGGGGACCCTGGTCGCCTTGGGCCCCTGGTAGCCTGGGATCCCCTGGTCGCCTGGGGGCCCCTGATCGCCTGAGGGCCGCTGGTCACCTAGAGGGCCCCTGGTCACCTGGGGGCCCCTGGTAGCCGGGGGCCTGGTCGCATGGGGCCCCCTGGTCGCATGGGGGCCCCCTGATCGCCTGGGGGCCCCTGATCGCTTTGGGGACCTGATCGCATTGGCCCTTGGTCGCCTGGAGGGCCCTGGTCGCCTGGGGCAGTGGGGCCCCTAGTCATCTGGAGGACCTGGTCGCCTGGGAACCCCTGGTCGACTGGGAGCCCCTGGTCGTCTGAAAGTACGCTTATCACCTGATTGATCCCAAATCATCTGAGTGGCTACTGGCTACTGGATATAAATAGTGACTGGAGTAGGCACTCATCTGAAGGAGCCAATATCTTTCACAGTGCCGGTGCCGGAGATATCACAGAAAAACAAAAAGGCTAAACTGAATACCCCCCAACCTCGGCCCCAAAGGCGTCATTGGCTAACACAGGGATGTGGATCGATTTGCAATCGCATTTCCTCCTAAGTCCTATTCCTCCAATTAATACAGAGTGTCCCAGAATTACCCAAGCATTTATTTTCTGGCTAAAAGTACAATTGCGCTCGTTTCCTAGTGAAACATATAATAACCGCGTTTACATAGGGCTAGTTGCCAGATAGTGGAATTCCGATAACGAGACATTTATTCCCCACTATTATATTATATACCTACATATCCGGAATTGGAGGATGTTCAGTAATTGAGGCGCTCGCCTCGCTCATAAAATGCCGTGCGTTTCATGCACACTCCTCAAGCAAAAATATTTTTACTTTCCAATTTTCCACATTTTCTCAAGGCTTAGACCGTTACAGAGACCGTTTTAATTGACTTTGATGAAGTTGAACGCGAGAAATCACAACCACATCCCAGTAAACATGACGACGTCGGCCCGATGTCGGGCCGAGGCTCGGCCCGACGTCGGCCAAACGTCGGTCCAACCTCGGCCCGACATCGGCTGGACGTCGGATATGCCCGCATGTTCCGACGTCCAGCCGAAGTCCAGCCGACGTCGAGCCGACGTCGGGCCGAGATCGTTTGCCGAGGTTGACGAGATCGTTTGTCGTTGGACCGACGGGGCCGACGTCGGCATGTTTATTGGGACAACGGGCCAAAAGTATCAACCGGCGGCGGGATTCGAGCCCCCCAGTCGCCGACGTCGGCACGTTTACTGGGACAACACGCCAAAAGCGTCAGCCGGCGATGGGATTCGAACCCCGTGTCATTCGAACGCGAGGTTAGTGCGCTAACCACTACACCACGCACCCAACTAACAAATTCGGTTTGTTTTTTTTGGGTAATGCCCTTTCGGTCTGACAAGACCATTTCAGAGCCGGAAGGATCATAGGATGGAGACATTGGTCTTCTTGGCGAGCACCCTGGGTCCAGTTCATATAGAGTCCCTGGTCCCATTGCTGTTACGTGACACTTATTGGAAAGGGCGACCCCACAATGGATTCATATAGCCACTCTTACACACCTGCACCAACGTTTCCCAAAGCGTCCCTTTGATAAGTGGCACTTTGGCAAAGTGACACTTGCCGACTGGCCTTTCTATATGAACTGGGCCCGGCCCTGGTGAGTTGCCGGGGCTGAGCCTGACCAAAGGATAGGCCGAGCAGCCCCCAAGCACTCACCGCTCCCGGCTACGGGCGAGCTCGGCTTACGGGCAATCCCAAATGGGATAAAGTTTCCCGTCCAGTCCGGATCAGGGGGTTGCGGCGTGGAGGAAGATTTGAGTTTCCTGAGGATATTTTGAATACAGAAGCTCTTTATGAAGCATGAAACATGTATTTTATATTATTTTAACGGTCAAAACAGCGGCCGATGTCGGTCCGACGTCGCCCCGACGTCGGCCCGACGTCGGCTGGACCTCAGCAATTGATCTCGGTCCGACGTCGGCCCGACATCGGCTGGGCCTCGGCTGGACGTCGGAACATGCGGGCATATCCGACATCCAGCCGACGTCGTGCCGAGGTTGGACCGACGTCGGACCGACGTCGGCATGCCGATGCCGAGTTGCCGACGTCACCCCGACGTCGGCCGACGTCGGGCCGACGTCGGCATGTTTACTGGGATGCTACATTAGGTTGTAAAGAACTGCATTGCGTTTTCCCACACACGTGGCGTTTTCTCACCTACGTCTGCAGGAGAGACCGGACCCACTATGCCCCCCCCCCCCACCATCGAAAGGTTCTTCATGACTCCCGGGGGCCCCCGGGGAACCTGGGGGGCCCTATACACTGTGGGGGGCCCCTTCGAAAGCAGGTGGCCCCCTCCTGGGCGAAATCCTGGGTACGTGCCTGAATATGTGTTGTATCCAGTTATTCTTGGTTTGATTTAGGCTTCAGATTTTCAGGGATAAACTGCTTCTCTACGTTATTTATGAACATTTGCTAGAAAAAAGCAGTTCCTTAGAGCAAAAATAACAAGCAAGGAGCGTTGCCGCCGGCCAGTTTTCCTGTTCTTCGTGTCCCTGTGTCGCCCGCTGCCCCGTTCGGGAGCGCCCGGCAGCGCCACCTGCACCTGACCAGTCCGGCAGCGTTTGGGGTCGCCGCGCAGTGCGCACCGCCGACAATCAGCTGACGCGGCCGGCGACGCGTCTCAAGGTCACTGGAGGTCAGCCGGGCCGCGGCCCGCCGGGTGGCCGTGACGTCACAGCCAGCGAACGCTGAGCGCCGGAACAGCTACTGTTGTTTATCCCTTCCTAGCCATTCATATATGAGTAACTTCAACCGCTGCTCACCATCCGTGACTAGTAGGGTAATCCGTGACCCCAGCTCCGTGGCCAGGTGACTGATGGTGTCGGCAGCCACCCCCTGGAGAGATACCGACAGACCACTCCCGTACTGTCCCGGCCACCTCGGCTTCGTCACCTCCGGCCCTGTCGGACAGAGCTGTGTCAGCTGACAGCAGTCGGACGGAGCTGCTGCCGGGTTGGGAGGCGGCTGACACTGTGGTGTCAAACCCTGACACAGACGACACTGACAAAGCCAAGGTCGATCGGCACTGTTGGACAGTAATTGAACATTGTGCACAATGCATGCACTACGCTTATACATGCGTCAGTTAATACAGATCAGTACATACAGGTCATACAGTCTCAGTACATACCCGAACGTTGTTTCTTCATTAGACAAACACTATTTTTTTGAATGGTGTTTTTCTATTGAAAAACAAACTGAGGGTGGTTCCTTTTCGGGAAAGGACTCTCGTTTGGTGTGGGAGATCCGGACACCTTGATAGGCCTCCAAACGAACCGATAGGTTGAGCGTGTCACACGGAGTGGTCCAGGGTTCGATCCTGGGCCCGGTCCTATTTTTGGCATTTACCAACGACTTGCCACAACATGTACCTGCTGAGAAAATCGTTATGTATGCGGACGACGCCCAGTTCCTCCACTCTGACTTACCGAACAACCTCTCTGACATGAAAATACGTTTGGAAACCAGCATGTCTGCTGCTCTAAAATGGTTTACCCAGAACAGATTAAAAATCAGCCCCTCTAAAACTGAGATGATCATGGTAAAATCGCAACGATTGAAAACCGAAACTGGCTTCCATATCCATTTTGGAAACTCTCAAATTTTCCCGGTACAGTCGGTGAGGGTGCTGGGCGTCGCCGTGGACGACGCCATGACATGGGACAAAAACATATCATACATTTTGCGCCGGTGCTATAGTGTACTGATCGGTCTGTCAAGGATTCGACACCGCGTGCCGCGCGAGACCCGTAAGCTCCTGATTGAAGCGCTAGTCTTCCCGCTAATGACGTACTGCATGTCTGTATGGGGCGGTTGCACAGTCACACAGCTCAGGAGACTGCAGAAATGCATAAACTTCTGTGTCAGAATCGTAACGAACCTCAGGCGTTGCGACCGTGTGACCAAGGCTATAGAACTCCCGTGTGACAGCGTCCCGCAAGGAACTGGGATGGCCTGCTGTACAGGAGCTACTGCGTGAGCATGATCTGCATGTTATATTTAAACTGATGCATGACTCGCATGCCCCTGCTTCGATCCGCAGCCGCATCGTCCACCGTACTGCAGTGTCGAGCCGCAGCACTAGGGCAACCAGTGACGGTCAGCTTCATGTCCCGCGCGTGCGAACTAGAGATGTCAATCGGATGCCAACTTTTTGGTATACCGATACCAAACCGAAACCAACTTGGTATTTGGCATTTCAATCGTAATGTGTTTGGTATTTTGTTGGTATCGTGAACCCTCACTAATGTATAAGAGGCTAAGAAATCGGTAAAAAGTTGGTATTTCTCTCATTTTCCCAAGTTGGTTTGGTTTCGGTATTTCCCCACGGTTTTGGTTGGTATTTGGTTTGGTATCGGTATTCCGATTTTCCGTTATTGACACCATTAGTGCGAACTGAGCTTGCCCGGCGCTCATTCATCTGTCGCGCAACTCGTTCATGGAATGAGTTGCCTGCGCCTGTTCGAAGCTGCACCGGTCTGGCGGCGTTCCGTAAAAAGGCTAAGAAACGGCATGTTTAATCCGGCTGGTCAATGTGGTCAGTTTATCATGTGTGGTGTGTTTAAACCTCTATAGAATATGTCCTGTATGTATAGGTATGAGTTTTGAACTACTGAATGTATGACGTGGTTTACTGAAAACCCAATTTCTTGGATGTAACCGAAATATATGAGTATGAGTATGAGTATGCGTATATATTTTGATGAAATTTTCAGGGCAGCTGCCCCCGTAGATTATCTACCACGAAACACCCTCAGCTAAGAATGTAATTATTTTTCTTGCACGTGGCACGTGCACGTGTTTTGGGCCCATAGGCTTCAACATTAGGTGTATTTTCGGCATCGCATTTCTCGCAGACGGGTGCTTGTAATGCGATGGTCTTCTATGTGCTGGGTGGCCGCCCCGGCATCTGCCATTAGCCGGCGGCGCCGTTTCGGGCAGCCTCGGGAAGGGGGTGCAAATTGCACATGCAGCCGTCATTGGTTTAAATGGACTATCCCACCTTCTAAAATGTTGTTAAAACCAGTTAAATTGTGCCCGACTTTATAGATTGGATGACCAGGAACACGGTTCTGGCATTTATTTTTCATTAAACATCTTAGGCTTCCCATATTCCAAACACAAACTTTCAAATATGTGACGTCACAGCCCAAAATTACCTCCTTCCCCAGGCCACATTACTGTCATAAAGCTGATTCTTTTTACTCTGTAGGCGCCACAACAAAGTTCAGACCAAGTTTTAAGCGATTTTTCAACGAACAAACCCATTTAAATCAGAATGACTAAACGAGGTGACGTCACACTAACGGTCGCTCCATGTTGAAGATAAGGCCTTGTACAAGGCCCATTTTCAAATAAAGGGAACGAATTTCTTCAACACCAAGAGGCCGCGGGGGTTGCAACCTAGATAGATAGTGGTTTCTGAACCTCGCCGCAAACTTGGCTATCTCAACTCAAACCCCATGTTAAAGGTGGGATAGTCCCTTTAAGTCAATGGGATTTCTTGAAGAAAAAATACTTCATTAAAATACAAAAAATACCCAAAATCAATTTTGCTCAAAATTCCCACGCTAGATTTTGAAAATGTTTCAGTATGATATGCACCCACATGTCGCCTACTGTACGTGGCATAGGCCATATATGGGGCGATTGAAATGCACGTGCACGCTCCGGTCTTGTTTGAGGGGACCACCTCCGTGAAAATTTGACCACTGCTGGTATGATAGCCTGTGCCGCGAAAACAATGCGTGCCAGCGAAACCAATCGAGGTCAGTCGTCAAGGGGATGCTCTAGGGTAGTTGTACACCTCATCACGTGGTGCGCGTGTTTTCGCACGTGCGCCACGTGGGTGTAGCACTTTGGGGTAGGGAGCAATTGGTGCATAATTATGCTCAGATGATAACCTCACTGCATGGGTTTGAGCCAGAGTTCCAAGTCGGTTGCGACAATGACCAATGGTGTTGGGTCTACTACATGTCAAGCACGTGGCCGCCCGGGGTTCTCCATTCCGGAGATATTGTGACGGATAGTGAGGTAAGCCCCAATTTAACCCGCGCCCCGTTGGGCTCTGCCGAGCAACGCGCCCGGTTGGGGGGGGGGCCGTTTTGGCCCCCCCCCCCTAAGATCTCGAGAACCACGCAACATAGCGACAAGCGGTAAACGGCGTTGGATAGCCCCAACGGGGAACTACCTTGTGACCCAATTTTATTGACCTAGGTCAAACCGATGACGTCACAGGTCAGGTCAAAGGTCCAATTTTCACCGTTTACAGGCACTTCAAGAAATGCGTTGTAAAATCGAGTAAAATGCATTTCATTGAAAATCATCGATGGGGAAATGTTCTTCAAACACATATTTTGCTATTTGAGGTCACTGATACCAGGTCAGGTCACAGAGGTCAGGTCACGGGGGGGTCACAATATGAAAGTGTCGTGTGATACATGTTTTATGGTCCATTTTACATGACAAATGCGATTATATGGGTCAGGCAGCCTTTGGGGCCAGCTTAGATCACGTTTTGGTCAAGGTCAGGTCAAAATCAGGTCAAGGTCAGGTCAAATTAGGTCAAATTTCAAAATTAATATTTTTGCCTAAAATGGGTATCGAATCGATGCAGCTCGTCACGGGGAGTTCAATGGTGGTCTTTGTTTTGCCGTACGTGGTCTAGAATCGCTAAAAATTGAGTTAAACAATTTGACGTCATCATTTTTGAACAGTTTTTTCGCTATAACTTGGCCAAAAAACGAGATATCGATCTGAAATTTGGTATGTATATAGAAGAGCGCAGGGACTATCACATATATTCCGGTTTTTTTCGAAATTCGGAAAATTTTGGTTTGTTTTTTAGTTTTTCAAAAAAAAATCAAAATTTCGATTTTTTTGGGGTCAAAAACCAACAATTTTGAAAATCCGAGATAGCAGTTTTGTAGCGCCGCTTTTTGTCTACTAGACCATATAAAGAACTTTGAAATTGCTTGATAACTGTAGATTTGGTGAGCGTTTCAAGATTGCATGTTTTTTGCTCATTTTTGCTCGAACATGACCTCAGTTTGACCTCAATAACTCCTGACCTAAGGTGACCTAAGACTTGAAATTTGTTGCGAAGGTGTCAAATTGATGCCCGGGAAGGTACTGAAAATTTGGCGGCGCTGCGCGCCGCCGTTTTCTTGCTATTCAGGAAAAACCACAGGGGGGGGGGCAAAATGGCCCCCCCAACGGGGCGAGGGTTAAAGGTAGTGTGCCACCTTCGAATGATTTCACATTTTATTTTTCCTAGGATAAGAAGCTTCTGTTTTTACCTAATATCGCAAAGAAAATCCAAAATGGGCCTAAAATAGTGCTTTTTTCGCCTAAAGGTTTATCGGTTTTTCGATATGTATAACAACTGTAGTGGGCTGACCTGCAAACAGTCATCGGCAACAATCACGAATGCGGCACACATGTGACAATAAGCAAAGGTCATTATAGAGTTACGACGTACGGGAATGAGTTATCAGCTGTCTAATCGTAGACAACACAATGTCGAATTTGAACTGTAAGCCTGTATTGGTATTGTTTCTTTAGTCTGTCTGTCAAACATTAATTTATGGTTTGAAATATTATTTTATGTAAAATAATTGATATGAAACAGCCGTCTCTAAAGTTATGACCCCATCTCACCACATGAAAGTGGCAGAAATGACAATGATCAGCTGACGCATTTTTCTTGGCCGAAGTCAGAGCGCGCGGCCCGACGCACCACCACCGCACCACAAAGTATGAGCAGAAGCCGCGCCCAAAGCCAGGGCCCCGGTAACGTGAGGTAGCCGAGTCGGGGCAGCGTGCACTGAACCAAGCCGGGGCCGCAGCTTTGGGCGCGGTCTACCGCATCCCCGCGGGCAGCCCCGGGCTATCACATGAC